TCATGACCTTGAACAAGCTGCTGCTAACCTCATGGTTTCCCGTCTTCAGAATATGATCAAGGTCTAGTTGCCTATTTGTCGCTAGTACTGTAGGATCATGGGGCGAAGGATACAGGCATACCTCGGAGATATTGCGGGTTCTGTTCCAGACCATTGCAATAAAGCAAGTATCCCAGTAATGGGAGTCACATGAACTTTTTGTACATATAAGAGTTATATTCACACTGTAATGTAGTCTATTAAGTGTGCAATACCGTTATGTCTAAAAATACGATATTGCTAAAAAATGCTAACCATTACCTGAGCTTCAGCGAGTCATAATCTTTTTGCTGGTGTTACCTTTAATTTGTGAAAAACGCGATATCTGCGAGGCTCAATAAAGCGGAGCTCAGTCGAACACGGTCTGCCTGTGTGGTTTGCAAACACAAAGGAGGGCGTCTTGAGTGCACTCCCCACTGGAGAGACTAAGTGAGATGAGAAGCATGTGCTTAGCTCTGGCTAAGGCTTCGGAAACACGTTCCAGAAGCCAGTGTGCTGTATCCAGGGCTCAGCCCAGCACCCTGGCACATCCTAGGTCCTCAACAAACAATTTGTTGGCGCTGAAGATAATGTATGATTTTAGCTCAAGGACTTGTTCTCTTCGTCTGCTGCAAGCCAGGGACCAGCTGCCACCCAGGCTCCCTCCAGCTTCCCCAGACCTGGAAACTGGAGCTCAATGCTACGTGCCATTTGTTTTCCTTTGGAAATGAAAAAGTAAAACTGGTGCTAAGTTATGTCACACAAGCTTTCATTGCTGCTATTTCCTATCCCCTGTCCTGCCATACCTCCCCCAAGATACTTTTCCCTTCGAATTGTCCTCTAGAATCTGCAAGGCCCAGCTGAAGTCTGGGGATCCTATTTTCTGAGGGTGAAAAGCTGACCATCTGAGTAGCTTGTTTTCCTTCACGACTGTATGGGACTTACTGCCCCACTGCCAACTCCCCACACATTTGTCTCTGCCTCCCAATTGCCCCCTTTTTGCTCCTAATATGCCCACTTCTCAAACTCTAAACGGAATCTGAGGCCAGGGCCAAGCAGCTGTGCAGCATTAAAGGTGGGCCTGAGCTCCCTAAGAGTTCCTGCAAAGTGAAGCAGGCCCCCAGCGAATGCACTTTGGAATCCTTCACAATAGCCTCCATTTTATTTTGTTTGTGTAAAGTCTCCTGAAAGAGGTTTAGGGACAACCACCTCCATCTTTCAAATAGGAATGATTCCACATTAAAGGGTTGTTATAATAACTGTGAGGATAAAGTCAAATAATGAATGTGAAAGTGGCTTTTGAAAACAGTAAATGCCACCAAATGTCAAGTAATATTATTCTAAATAACATTTGGGCTCCAAATATTGCCAAACTCTGTCTAGAAATATAATTAGTTGCTTATTTCCCCTTGGTGATGCCCTCCTTAACCTGAGCTATGTGGCAAGTTTTCCAGGTGGACTGTGCCTCTTGCTTTTATCTGTAATCCCTCTGGTCCCTGTCATCACGCCTTTTATGTAGTGGCCACTTGGTCAGTACTTCTCGAACTGGGTCACTTACAAGTTATTATTGTCTTGGTCAAATTTCCTTTTTTTCTACACCTGTGGCACTAATTGAGAAATTTCCAAGTGACTGAATTTTCCCCGCCCCAATCTAAGAGAATAAGAGACACAATGTGTGTTTCCCAAAGTCCTGGCATTTTAACGGTACCCTTTTAACTAGTTCACTTTTGTATGAAATGTGAGGAACACAGATTCAGACGTAAGAAGTGTCACAAATTGAAGAGTTGAAGAATCAAGTTTTATGAGGGTGAAATAAGAGAAAAATAGGCCAGATCTACAAATTGTTTAAGTCCACTTTGGAGTGCTTTTGGTCTCTTCTAGGATTTCCTGGAGCCCTGGAGACTGGTATTCACCATCCGCATATGCATATATAAAAATATACCATCTATAAATAGCCACCTGCCTTTTCAGTGAAATTAAAGATGGGAGAGTTGGAAGAGAATTTCCTGGTATAATTACAGGGTTCAAACCTACAGCTGTTACACTCATAGTTCTACTCAGAGAATCTCTAATATCACTATTTTCTACAAGCACATTAAAAAAAAAAATCCTACTTTTCCTCTAACAGTAAAACGCTATCAACAGGACATTTATTCTTGCCAAGATTGCTGACATACCTGCTTTAAAAGATTGGGTGTTGTGTGCGGTTATTGTGGAGACTAATTTTGTTTTATAAACTGCAGAAAATTTTCACAAGAGTTTCTGCCCCTTATCTAGGGATTAACACCAAACTCCTGCCAATATTTCTCTTAACCTTTACACGTGCCCTTTCACAAACACTCTCCCTCACATATTTCCTGCTTAGATGCACCTCCTTAAAAAAATCCCTGAGCTTCTAAAAGTCTTAGGTAAGAATCAACTACAGGCTGCACGCGCAAATCCACTCCGCTTCTCTGCCCATGTGTCCACCCCCAGCCTCTTCTGGGTGCAGACATGCCCCTCCCCCATGCTGTGAAGATTTGAATAATTGGTGGAACAGGCCTGGATGATCCAGAAATCTTAGAAGGAAGAACTGAGGAATGTGTGCTCAGTCCATTTGGTGAGCCTTCTGATGCCTTAATTTTGGGGAAGATAGAGACTGCTGATTGCATCCTCTTTGCCAGGCATGGGAGGCAGCGAACCACCATGCCTTCAAAAGTCACCAGGCGAACATCTGGGCTCTGAAGGAGGAGGCTGTTCTCATGTCACAGTGACCACAGCTTGCGGTTCCTTGAGGGAAGAGAGTCAGCCGGCGGTATTATTGGCCAGTTCATCCCAGGACCACCATGAGGCCTCTGACCTCCTGTGATGGGAGTCGTTCCTGTGCCAGAGGCATGTGCCCTACCCCAGAGACTGAGCCACTCTGCCCCCTACGAGAGGTCCTGAACCAGAGAGACGGCTAAGAAGCTAGGACTCAGGTGCCACTCATAAGGGACAATGCTCACAATTGTAGGACTCGTTTTAGTTCACGGACAGAAAGCTCCATGTGTCACACCTGGGGGGCGGATGTCATCCACATGACCACAGTTCCAGAGGTGCTTCCTGCTAAAGAGGCTGGACTTTGCGAAGCAAGTATCGCCATGACAACAGATTAACATTGCTGGAAAGATCAGAAGTGGTTTCAGGGGACCAGGATTTAAAGGCCCTGAAAAAAAAAAAAGCCAATAAGATTTACTCCTCACTGCCATACCTCAGATAGGGACCATGGAATGGTCAGAAACCCTCCCTAACCTGAAGAGGGAAATTCCTGCTCGATTAGAAACGTGGAAAAGCTTTCATGCCCCTGCCCGCTAAGGAAGAACAGGTGATCAGACCATACCAGGCCAGTGTGGAAGATGCCTTCTGAAAGACATGGACTGCTTCAAAAAACAGAGGGAAAGCCAACATCCAGTAAACCTGTGGAAAAATCCCTACACCTTAGAAAAAAAGACAAGAGCACACCATCCCTCTTCCCTCATTAAATTCATAACAATAAAGGGTGGGAGGCGACATCCAATTTCCTATGTTGCCAAGGAATACGAAGACAAAATGGAACTCGAACTATTGGTGTCACTGTAAATCGGTACCATCTTCCTGGGGAGAGTTGGGTAAAATGTATCAAAAGGCTTAAAAATGCTTCCACTTTGTTATGCAGGTTACTTTACTCCTCTTATCTTTAAAAAATTAAAAATGCATCCAAAGAACTATAGATAAAGAAGGATGTTTAATATAGTGTTAGCTTTAATAGCGAATATTCAAAACCAACTGAATATCCCAAAATTGGGGATACATGATGGGTTAGCTCTAATTAGATGGTGAAGCAGCCAACTGAAGACCATGTTTTTATATACTATTAATTACTGTCCTAAAGAATTGGTTGCTTTATACTATAAAATGAAAAAAAGGGTATGTAAGCATTTTACAGTACTAATTTTGTTTCAAAATTCTAATTAGCAGGCTCACACACATGGCTGATGTGTTTGTAAATGCACAAAAAAAAAAGACTAGAAAAAAAATAATCATTTGTTATTGTATTTTGGGGGTATACTGGATAATTTTAATTTTCTTTATATGTTTGTCTTTACATTTTTTCTATACGAATAGAATGAAATAGTAAAGTTATTTCAAAAATAAAAATTACTTAGGAAGAAAAAAAGAACGACGTTAAGGACAACCACAACGTGAAAGGAATTAAAGCGAGCACTTTTATCTCTGCTTACAAAAAAGCAGGTAGTAATTTATTCACACACAGTCTTTGTTCCCTCACTAAAGACCGATGCTCTTCCATCTCTGAGAGCCCCGAAGGACCAGGCGGTGCTGGGAAGAGGAGAGGGACACATTTACAGGAGCAGTCACGCAGCTCTCCCCGCAGAAGGGTCTAAGTGCCCGTAGCAGTTAATTTGTGAGCAAAGAACCCTGTTGGGAGCCTTCCATCTACCCTAAAAGCAAACATTCTTCTTAATAGGCCATATTAGTGTGGTGTTAAAAAAAAAAAAAGCATGCTTTAACCTAAAAGGTGTCCTTTTATGAACAAAAACTGGATAAACCTTAAGAGACTAGAAGCGGCTGTTTTTTGCCTTCCTGGATGGCCAGATCTTCCCGGGTGAGGGTGACCTCACACCCATTGTGATGCTCAAACCCAGGAGGATCTTAGAGCCGCTCTCTGCAGAGTGCAGCCGCTTGACTTCCTCCTCCTGGGGAGGACCGTCTGTCGCTGGCTTGCACTCTGTGTATTTGTGAAGCACACCAGCCATGTGTGTGAGCCTGTTAATTAAAACAAAAACAGAACTGTTTCTGTGGGGCTTTAGAAGTGCAGAACCTCAGAGCCGAGGAAGGGAAGAAACACAGCGGCATCCAGGCTACTGCTGGGTCTCCAGGGCCGCCTGAGAATGAGGCAACTGCATTGTGAAAAGCCAGGAAACAGCACCTGAATTAAAGAAGAGAGGCAGGTGAAAAACAAAACAAAACAAAGCTAGCAGGCTTGGAATTGGAAGTATTTAAGAATGCCTTTATCATTTCCCCAAGGGACTGTTTAATATCAAAGTGCCTGGATAGAGAAGGCTTCTCAGTCTAATCTGATTCCAAAGTCGGCTTCTGGGACAAGAGGGAAGAATAGCTTCAGTGGCTTCTGAGGCTTCCCCTGGGGTGAGGCCTGGAGTCTATTCCTGCCAGAGCTGCTGAGTCACTGCCACCTTCACTGCCACCTCGGGGAGTCACTTGACCTCTGGTTCAGTTGACCTAGAAGGGAGAATGCAGCTTACAGCTGAGGAATGCTCCTTAGGCAAGGCCCTTGCTATTATCTGGAATCGTCCCAGGACTTTCCCAGCCACCTGAACCCAAGGGACTTAGGTATTAACAATTCAGATAAGGTTCATCAGGATAATGCAAAACACGAATCAGTTTACACACACACACACACACACCTTACTGAATTCTTCCCAAGAAAAGCAGACCAACAATATCTTCTAGTTCTCTCTGGAATACGTACTTCACCTCTGAAGGGAAGTAAAAACATGGATCAGAGAGCAGCTCTTTAAAAGCGATGCTTATTCTGGACCTTCAGTCATTTATCCAAAGCAGGATGTGAAAAGGCTTACCGGAGTGTGTGGTGGGTGGTGTGGAGACAGGCAGGAAGCAGCAACAACAGGAAAAAAATTAAGGGACAGTTAAGGCATTCATGACCTTTTAAAAAAATGCAATGAAAAAGAGATCTCAATAAAAAAATGTATGCACACTTTAATAGCTGATGATAGCTCAATTGATGTTTCTTTTTTTTTTTTTTCAGATTTAACCCATTTTGGAATTGATAATTATTCCAAGTGTGTATACATTTTTTGGGGATACCCTATAGATCATCTCTTCCTCTTTGAGACCCATCCAATGTGTTTCTCCACACCTTGTTTCCATACCCCTAAAGCTTAGTTTTTTGGCTTACTGATATATATGGGCACTGTAAACTAAATAAACATTCACTTGGTATTTTAAAAAAAATTTATTTTGTGATCTGTACATGTGATAAAGTGGGGCTTCCTTGTAGACTTTTAAAGGCAAAACAAAACAGAAATCCAAAGTAAAAATGTATAAATACAATATATATTTTCTTACAAAAATGGGAGATTTACAAAATATACATACCGCACTTGTCTCTATTTTACAAATTTCACATGCAAGAGATACAACACAAAAGATGCCAAAGAACTGCGTGGTGGGAGTTTTAAAAATCTGACAAATGAGACAGTTTTGGAGGTGTAAGAAACCCAAGGTCAATAACTTTAATATAAAAAGCAGCTCCACTCAACTGAACATTATAGAAAGTAACTTGTATTCCTGACCGTACCCTCTATGATTTAAAAACTGTTCAAAACAGCATTTTAAAACTGTTTTGAGAAATAGGACAGTGTTGCAAGATTGGAGGGTGGTGTCAAAGGTGGAGTAAAGGTTAGTTCCCATGATCCTCTGCTCAGCTTTAGATCATTATGCAAAAGAATCAGAGTTCTGTTATAGAAAAAAAAAAGTACATGATTTAAGATTAATAAATTTAAGTCATCCAGCACATTTCAAAGGACTCCAGCATTACTTTGAAGTTTACCTTCTTTTAATGACTTTCTTTAAGAAGGGGGCCCCTCATTTGAATAGTCCTCTTCATTTACTATCATTTCTGCAGGTCACCTCCCCAACCAGCCACACAAAGACGGGATTAGCATACACATGATGTGTTATAGATGGTTTTATGGGACTATGAAAACAGAACCAAAATTTTTCTTAGTTCTAAAATTTAACTTGTCTGTATAATGGAGGCTGAAAACATTATGCTCTTCCTTTTACCTAGGAGGATTCAAGTTGGAGAAAAAATATAGAAAGAAAACCTACAGGCAGGTTTCTAGGAAGAAAAAAAAATGAAGGGATTTCCCTTCACATTTGAACAGAGCCCATTTCATTGGATCATGTGTTCTGAATTAAAATTGATATAAAGCAAACAACAAACCCCCTTGCATTTCCTTTGGCCAAGTCAGAATCTCTGACCCAATGGGGGTACGGAAACACACTTGCCTTTCACCTTTCCTTAAAAAGGAATGTTTATCTCAACCAAATTAACATCCAGAGAGAAGAAACCTCAGGTTTGCGCTACTTTGCCTGTAAAATTTGCTGTCTTCACAGTTATGCCTTTCCTCAGAGACACTTTTGTTTCCTCTTTTGTCTCTTACAACAAAGACAAGGGGGAAAATGCATTCCTGTTTTGAAAAGCAACAAGTCATCACTTCTTTTCAGGGTATCAAACAAAATAAAACACCCTTCTCTCTTCCTCCGGCTTTCCCCAGAAAATAAAAAAAAGCAGAAATACCTACTACTCCTTTGCATCATCTCCAAAGGCTACCTTCATTTCTTTTGCATCCTCACGTTAGGATTCCAGGAGGCAGGCCTCTCAAGACTTCCAAATGCTTATTTTTCAAGACTTGAAAGGAGTAAGGGCGGGGGCGGGGGCAACAGGCGGGAGGGGGCAGGGGAGGAGAGACTGTGGACTGTAATGTCTGACCCTGGAAATTAACCCATCTGGGCTCCAGTTTGGCCCCAGTGAAAAGAGATTATGGTTTGACCACCGCTTGACAAGGGCACCGCAGGGAGTCCACCCTTTTTCAACAAAGCGGCCGCCGCAGACAGAGCTGTACCTTTCACCCGGGCCTCACGGGAGTGAGGACAGGCCGCTGGTCTAGCAGCAGGGGAATCGCTCACAGCCCCAGGGCGGCGGGAGCTGGGAGACACTCAGCACTCTCTGCTGGTCTCACTCCTCTCCACAGGCCCAGGCCGTCCGTACCGTCCATGACAAACACCATCGTTATTAGGATCATCATCATTAGCCTGCAAGTCTTTGCCAGAAGTCCTTTCATCCAAACCGTCTTCCCACTCAGGCCTCCTTTCCAAACCTCGTCCCACACCCTCGGAAACCTCTTCCCTTCCAGGTCACTTCTCCTTGGAGGGGGAGGAGGTTCAGGAACAAGCCCCCATTTAGAAGTTCTTTCCCTCCCGCGCCTTTCCCTCTATTAAGGAGTGGGGGGCAGAGAGGGGAGGGCTCATACCGCAGTCTCCCCCTTGCTGCTGTGGCTGAGTCTGTGGTAGAAGCGGCGCCACGACTGTAGGGTTTTGCCAGACCAGATCCAGAAGCCGGTGGTGATGCCCACGATCATGGTCATCAGGTACTTGATCATGAAGACGGTGAAGTCGGGGCTCATGGGCGGGAAGTGGCCGGGCGGGCAGGGCACCGCGTAGCTCTTGCAGGTCTGCAGCAGCCAGGTGCGCTCCCAGTGCTCGCGGAAGGCCTGCTCGTAGAAGTAGCAGGCCAGCACGATGGTGGCGGGCACGGTGTAGAGCACGCTGAAGACGCCGATGCGCACCATGAGCTTCTCCAGCTTCTCCGTCTTGGTGCCGTCGTGCTTCATGATGGTGCGGATGCGGAAGAGCGACACGAAGCCGGCCAGCAGGAAGGACGTGCCGATGAAGAGGTAGACGAACAGGGGCGCCAGCACGAAGCCCCGCAGCGCGTCCACGCTGGACAGGCCCACGTAGCACACCCCGCTGAGCAGGTCCCCGTCCACCTGGCCCATGGCCAGGATGGTGATGGTCTTGACCGCGGGCACCGCCCACGCCGCCAGGTGGAAGTACTGCGAGTTGGCCTCGATGGCCTCGTGGCCCCACTTCATGCCGGCCGCCAGGAACCAGGTGAGCGACAGGATGACCCACCAGATGGAGCTGGCCATGCCGAAGAAGTAGAGGACCATGAAGAGGATGGTGCACCCCTCCTTCTTGGTGCCCTGCGCCACCGTGCGGTAGCCGTCGTCGGAGAAGCGCTCCACGCACACGGCGCGGTCCTCCAGCAGGAAGCCGGCCACGTGCGCCACGGCCACCATGAAGTAGCAGCCCGACAGGAAGATGATGGGCCGCTCGGGGTAGCTGAAGCGCCTCATGTCCACCAGGTAGGTGAGGACCGTGAAGAGCGTGGAGGCGCAGCACAGCACCGACCACACGCCCACCCAGAGGCGGGCGAAGCGCCGCTCCTCCTCCTTAAAGTACATGAGGCCGTTGGCGCGGCCAGGCTCGCACGGGGCGCCGCAGTCGCGCTCGCCCAGGAAACGGTAACCCAAGTAGGGGGGGACCTTGAGCTGCCGGGGGCATGAGAAGGGAAAGGAGGACCTGCCCCTGGTATCAGACGCCCCCGGGGGCAGCGCGGTGAAGGGCAGGTCGGGCAAGTAGGGCGCGGTGGGGTAGGCCGTGGGGCCGCCGCCCGGACCCCCGGAGCCGTCGGACGTGTTCTGGCCCACGCAGATCTCGCCGGCGCCGTGCACCGGGAAGTTCTCGCAGCGCAGCCGCTCTGGCCACTGGAAGCCGAACTTGTTCATGAGCGCCTCGCAGCCCTGGCGGGCGCGCTCGCACAGGGAGCGGCACGGCGGGATGGCCTTATCCAGCACGGTGCACACGGGCGCGTACATGGAGCACAGGAAGAAGCGCAGCTCCGGGGAGCACTGCACCTTCACCAGCGGGTAGAACTGGTGCACCTCGAGGCCCGCATCCTCTTGGTTGGTGTGGCCCAGCAGGTTGGGCAGGATGGTCTGGTTGTAAGCGATGTCCGTGCACAGCGGGATGGAGATGAGCTGGCAGAAGCCGTGGTCTGGCACCGAGATGCCCTTCTCGCCGTGGTACGGCTGCGCCCCGGGGCCGGCGGACAGGGCGCCTAGGAGCGAAAGCCCCAGGGCGATTAAACCCCCCGGGAGAGCGCGGCGGGCCCCGCGGGCCCCCCGAATCCCCCGCGTTGGTCCAGCCCCCCTCTTCCGGTTGGGGATCCCCAACAGGGCCCCCAGAGGAAGGTTGGGATCCGGGGGGGGCCCCCCCCCCCG